TGAAGAATAGTTGAAGACAAAGGGTTCCCCTTCAAATGATGCGTTGTAAAAAGCTTGGAGGGATGCAGACTTGACAAAATCCGTGAAAGAGATCAGATGATAACGTTCGATGCAGTTCTACGATCCAGCGATGCATGGATCCTTGATAACAAAATTTTGACTCTGACGTTTCGGCAGTGGTGAGGGGCTGAGGGCGTAAAGTGTGATTTTTTGGTAGTGGGCTCAGTTCTCGTAATACAGTCTTATCAGATTTGCGACATTCTGCTTTTCGAATATTTATTTTTTATATATGCTTAACTTGTTATCTTTAACGAGTACATGTGGTAAGACGTCCTAGTTGCTGCATACAACTTGGTGAAGTTTGTTGGAATGATGAAACCAAATCTAACCATTATTTTATTATAAATCGTAAAGCCGAATAACTCCCAACTCATTATCGAATGTCCGAATCAATGGCGATACAACCGCCACTCAACTTTCACTTAGCGCGACACAAATATGGATAGTGTCACACTGTCTGGTGGGAATTCTGATCAAAATATGCGCAGCTGCAAGTAGACAGGTTAGGTTATGGCAAAAGCGGTTGGAAACAAGTTTGGCATTTTCAAAAGGAGAGGGATAATAACTATATTTTGTAAGTCTGGAAATGGGATCTGATGATTAGCCTTTATCCGACAATTGATTTTGTGGTTTTGGGTCGTTGCTACTAACAATAAAAATATTACCTGATATCTACCTGTAATTTTGATTGTGAATGCCGAGGCTGACATCATGCATTGTTTCCATCTGGTTTGTTCTTTTTGGTTTCTTCTCCCTATAAAGAAATCAAAATATAACGGTAGTCTGTGTTAATTTCTAGTTCGTGACACATTCCCTGGATGGTTAAATATATTTAAATGAATTAGCACAGGGTTCTTGTTGATGGGATAAACAATACTACTTAATATACTAGTTAATAGCCAATCAGAGCATTACACTATGCACCAAGGCACATAATGTGCCCTGTTTCTTCCGAAAATACTTTCGGTTGTGAGATCTCTTGTGCATCGTATCACCTAATATCCTACTCTTATTGTCTATTGTTCGGTAATCCCGATCGGCGCAATTTACTTCACTTATCAGCTTTTATTATTATTATTATCCTAAATATAGTGCTTGCCACAAAAGTGGCGAAGTAACCCTTTTTCTGGTTTCCTACAACTTTAATAAATACCACGATGTCCTGCTGGTTAAATCAGATTTCTACATTTTCCCATTATCGTTTTTTTCAAAAATGGCCGATGAAATTGATAGCAACGAAAAAATGGCAGATTTACTGCGTGACCATGACATAAGAAAGCAAAAGGAAAAGAGAGCCAGGTTGATAATCGTACTCACGATAGCTTTCCTTACTTTATTATTTGCTGCTTGGAATATATGGCGCATGGTTATTGCCGTCGAAGAGCCGGTAGTTACAATCAAAGATGTGACCCGTCCTGAAATACCGGTATGATGGAATATCATTTAACGTTTCATCCCTCTGCCTTTGATTTTGTATAGAGTATGGTTCTCTTATTACGAAACCTATTTCCTACATACCAAATATTAGGTTCCAGGTGTGGTCTTTTGCGGGACAACGCTGGATATGCCTGTAAATTGTTTCAAGGCAGCGATGAACCAAGCAGATGATAATTACGCCGCGGTATGCTTTTGAATGCTGTTCTTCCCAAAAATTGACAAGTTGATTAATTAATCAACGCTTTGCAGGCACCTCCATGTGACGAATACATCCGCACACCTACTGATGCATCGCAGTATATTAACATGCAAGGATTCGTCAATCTCACAGGCTACTATTGCTGTAAGTGACAATTTTGATATATCATCGGCATTGAAAGGGGAGAGATATTCATGTTCACTTATCGATTTAATAGACGAATTCAACCCCTCGGTCCCAGCTAGTGGCGATGGTCCGCCATTACATTATAATAGCTCAATTCAGAAAATCATCTTTTCGCTTTGGTCGAAAGAGAAGGCGAATAATACGGTATGCTTTTCAGTATTCTCGTTTCTGGTTTTGGGCAAGACGACTTTGCTCACATGACTAAATTCTTCAAACTAGTTGGGGGCCATCACAAACGATGCTTGGTTCTTTTATGCCATCTTCTCAGAAGCTGAAGATCCAAAAGATGCAATGTTTCAAATAGTCAAATTCGTAAGTAACCTTGCACTATTGCATTAATCACTGATCGATTGACTAGATCGCAGAACGACGTTCTTACCACAACCGTATTCTTCTTTTCATAGCCCACAATCAGTTATCTCTACTTTAAAAGACTGGAAAAATACGACTCTACTAAGTCGGATGCCATAACTGGCGGTCGCTCGACCGAGCATCTAACCAACGGAGCAAATGTTGAACTTGAGACTTCTCTGTCGACCTTTGCAATCGAAGGATTTGGTATCAGTGCAAATTTGTGGGGATTATTCAGGATCATACCGGAACGCTACAACTTTGATGCAGCGGCATCGTCATATACGTATCCAGTGGAGATTTGGAACAACAGAGTTGAGTTCACGCTGTTACAGATGGCAGCAAATATGGGTGGTTTCGTCAGTATTTTGTCGGCTCTGTACTTGTTGTTATTTGGAACGAGGAGGACTGTTCCGTGGGGAGTTGTACAGAAATATGTGAGTATTGAGAAAGCGGGATCTTGAGTTTAAAACGTAGCGCAAAGGTGTATATAGCCAGTATACTATATCTAACTTTCATTTCTTCACAACAGCTTCTCAAGAGCATCCCACCGCCGCCACCCGTCTATACCCCAGCTGCGCTTCCACCGTATCAGGCAGCAGAGACAAAGCGAAAGAATCAACCTGAACCTACTCCAAATCGTCCCAACGAACTAACACCCTATCCAGTCGACGCTTATCCCACTACTGCTTCTCCCCCGGCACCATTCCCCTATTATGGTCTCGATCCTGCCGATAGGTTGCTGACTGTTGAGAGACATAACAGCACCAGCGAGGCAGCTGACGATGGCAGAGACTCTGATCAAGAACGGGCAAGTTTCTATGAGTTGAACGATCCTGTGGTGCTGCGATTGCGTCAGGAATTAAGAATGGAAGTTCAGAGTACTATCGCAAACGAATTGGCCAAGATGAGAGCTTATCTGAACAAGTACTATTTTCAGGGAGAGTTCAAGACAGACTGATGACGGATGAATTACATAGAACTTGATAGAATGGGTGGGATCGGGTCGGTGTAATTAGCATTACAATGGGTGTAAATATTAATTTGATCAATTATATAATCTTATTTGGACGATAACCAAATCCTTGTAGTAAAATATATTTGACAATGACGTTGATACAGATACATGGCTTTTTCGGTTGTTAGTTATAATGTGTTCCCTACTCGATATTCTTGCAAAAGATGAATGAAAATACGCGATTTATGAGTAAAGTCTGACGACATCACATCCTTGTTCGCCGTTCATTTATTTATTATATTTGTATTACAAGATAAGAAGAAGATCATAACAGAGGGGAAAGAAATTTTTAAAGAGTAATAAGTTCACTTGGAACTCGTGTATTTAGTGACAGCCTTGGTGCCTTCTGATACTGCGTGTTTAGCCAATTCACCGGGAAGGATAAGTCTGACGGCCGTTTGTATTTCCCTCGAGGAAATGGTACTCTTCTTATTATAGGCAGCCAGTTTACTTGCTTCACTGGCGATACGTTCGAAAATATCATTTACAAACGAGTTCAGGATGCTCATGGCCTTGTTTGAGATACCGGTATCTGGATGGACTTGCTTGAGTACTTTGTAGATGTAGCTGGAGTAGGTTTCTTTTCTGACTTTCTTCTTTTTGCCCTTCTCCCCAGCAGCTTTCTTCTCCTTCTTTTCAGCAGGTGCTTTAGTGGCTGGCGCTTTGGCGGCTGTGGAAGCTGGTTTCTTCTCTGCTTTTGGCGGCATTTTCTTTTAGTGTGTGTACTTCTTCGTTTATGTTTAAGAGGGAAATGGAGAAGTGAAGAGGTTTAGGAATATTGGTTGTTTATGAATGAACTCCGTGTAGGGCAAGACGTACGACGAGTAAACAAGTGGTCGGAAGTGAGCATACCTTTATATAAGCGGTTGAAAGACGCGTGTGCAGAGTTGTTTACGGTATCTTCGCGGACGCAGGTCTTTAAAGTGTGCTGGAAGTAAGAGTCAAAACAAATCGTGCACGCGGAGGAACCAAGATGGGAATGCACAGATTATATAGGTGGGTGGGATGCTGTTTGCCTATTGAGCGATTTCGAGTATTCATCACGTGAACCACGAGTCGGTAGCACATGAGAATATGCTGCGGATCATAGCGAAATTATGACTGTGGGTATAATATACAACAATACTAAAGATAAGACGTATTCACAAATAATAAATACGATTACTACATTATTAAGTATTATATTATTAATTCGCATTTATTTTTTGCTAAATAATAGTACCCGTGTTACGTAATATATCTCAGTTACTACGTTGATAACGCTTTGAACAAAGGACTATTTGATTGCACGTTTGGTAAACTTTGGTAAGTGGGCATTTGTCAGCCACAAACCAGACTTTTAATGTGTCAATAAAACGACGCGTTATTATTTTGAATGAAACAATCGAAAAAAGACATAAATCTCAATTAGGATATTCAATCATGCATGAAACAATAATTATTAATTAGGACTAATTAATTGTTGACTAATTTAACCTGGTTATCATCACGTTACCTATGTTACTCACGTTACTCACATGTTCCATTATTTTCACATACCTTGCTTGCTACAATCACGTCCGAACGCCGTGATTTTTTTGTGTCCTTGTTGTCAAATCGATCTTTTACCTGTTGTTTTGTTCTACGCCGAAAAGTCACGCGACGTGACTGTTATTTGTTTACGTGTACATTTTGCGTAATTTTTATATAAATGCGCCATCCTAACCCACTGACCACCCGAGGTCAAAATATACGCAATTACGTACATCCACTAACTATTCTTAGACAGACCAGGTGCCCCCCCTTTATAACAAACGTAACCTTTTCACTCACCACATACCCTTCTCTACATCTCTAATAACATGTCTGGTGGAAAATCTGGAGGAAAATCAGCAGCCGCTTCGTCCGCAAAGGCAAGCTCATCTCGTTCCGCAAAAGCAGGACTTCAGTTCCCTGTCGGCCGTATTCACCGTCTTCTCCGCAAAGGAAACTACGCTCAACGTGTAGGTGCTGGTGCACCAGTCTATCTCGCTGCCGTACTCGAATACCTTGCAGCCGAAATCCTCGAACTTGCCGGAAATGCTGCCAGAGATAATAAGAAATCAAGAATCATTCCTCGTCATTTACAGTTGGCGATCAGAAACGACGAAGAACTGAATAAACTACTCGGCCACGTAACAATTGCTCAAGGCGGTGTATTACCAAATATTCATCAGAACTTGCTGCCTAAGAAGAATAATAAGAAGGGTGCCGCTGCTCCAGAAGTCTAAATTTCATGAACTATCAAACATATCGTTTTCTTAATAATTTCATTAATGATAAAAGGTGTATTGTATTTTGGTGTGTTGAAATAAATAAATGCATTGAAATGCATTGCTTGTAATGCTCGTATTTGCTTGTGAGCTTAAGCGAACGAACGAATGGATGAATGAAATCATTTCAATTGTGAAAATAATCTTTACATGAGTTTTAAAACATCGAATCCTCGTCTCGCAAATACTCTCCAACATCCGCCTGATGAAAAACGACAATATCCGTTGGTTGAAGCTTTCGTATGTCTATTGTATTTCGTGCTGTCACGCCAAACCCCTACACAAATAAAGAAAATAGTGAGATCAAGACGTTCGTGAACGCTGGTAATGAAAAGTCTTTTCTCGGTGATAGAGTAGATCGCGTAATTCTCTACTGACACCTTCACTCTCAACTTCTTATTCCCCTCTCTACCACCACTGATCACTTACCAATGGCACATCAGCCATAGAGTAGATAACGACACCTTGGTGCTCGGGCGTGTCTTCCGTTATCCGACCAATGTGAGCTTTGAGAACGTGATTGCCATATAGAAAAGACATTTCCCCGTTGGGTTTTATCCATACTTTGTGCTAGAAAGAGATGGTCAGTGAAAGAACAAGTAAGATACGATAAATTCTAATAATTGATCATAGATCTATCAATCAGAACCCACGATTACTCTGCTGAACCATTGTACCCGACTAATACAGGCTATTAGCGATCAATCTTTAGACTCATTGACATCGCTATCGGCTTGCCCGACCCATGACGCATCCCCGTGTCCTGTCACGATGTCTCACCTTGGCATACTGAGCCAAATAATCAAGTGCTGTTATATGCAGTTTAAACTTGCGTGTCTTTGTGAATTTGCCGAAACATACTCCAAGCGAAATTAATCGATCTCGCCCAACGCTTGTTGCTCGCCGCATTATGGATTCACTTTAGTAAGAATTAGAAAAAACTGGTTAAAATATGGAAAGAACAAATTGGTAATCTCAATGTGCTGATAGCATAAAAGGAAACTCGGTAAAAGCGAAAAGACGTGGGAGGCTGATGGAGTATGGTAGAATTTCCAATTAACACCCATAAGCCAAACGCGCAAGGCCTCTATCATCTGGAGACTGCATCGATGTGGTAAAAGGGTCATCTTCCAAAGGGTCATCTTCCAAAGGGTGTCACACGTTTATTCATTCGCTCACTCAAACCCCCCGTCCGTCTGCTTATCCAGTCATTCATGCTTATCGTCCATCTGCTCATGTTTCATTGATCCATCCCATTTCCTCACCATACGTAAATCAAGCATAGTCGATAAAATTTACCTGACATAGTACACTCTTTCTTTATGTAATCTGAAGCAATAATTTCCATCTGGTCTATCGACTAGGTGAACTATGTTCTTCCCGATACTACAAAAACGTATGCGGTATTTGAATCCAATTCTCATAATACTCATTAAGGGGTAGACGATCGAAACGTCTCATCAGTATCAACTTACTACTTTGATAACTTTTCGAAAAAGGCTTTGGATTCGTCTTCCGTAAGTGGTCTCATTAAGGCTCAACTTGCAAACTTTAATTTTTGATGATTAACGGTTTAGAATTGATCCACAACTTTTTCGTAAGATTAGGTATTAAAATTGCTGCGCTAAAGTCAATCTGACCAATTATAGGCAGGCCACAGATCTCCAACAAAAACGATGCAAAATCCATGACTGAATCTTCCTTTTCGATTAACATTCCTTGACTGTAACGAGGATCAAAAGCAATGGTACGTGTATGATATAATTTATACGAACCTGCATTAAAGTTCGCCAAAACGTGTCGAATTAGTTGAGATGAATTGATGGATGGGTTAGGATAGTGCGATTGGGAGAATTCCACTGTATGTCACTGGCAAGCTATGCAGAGAGATCTTGAGAAATGAGAGCTTTGTTTGCGAGCCTGTTTTAATTGTTACCCTCGTAGACTACCACAAAGGTGGAATTCAACTTTAGATAGTTAGTAATTTGTCGGTGTTGTATGCAGGGTCATACCCGATCACTTAACAGTAACATTAGCGGAATTGCAAGACGATTCTTATACCATACTCATTGCACGGCTATTTAATTACAGCCTGCCAGACTAAAGAAGAATCGCAAGAAGCGCGGACACGTATCTGCTGGACATGGTCGCATTGGTATGTTATTTTTTCGATCTGTATTTAGCGAGTCCTGATTGCCTCCTCCTGTACTTTTTTCATAAAAATTAACTCTTACATCCTGCTAGGCAAACACCGTAAGCATCCTGGAGGCCGAGGTCTTGCAGGCGGTCAGCACCATCACCGCACAAATTTGGACAAATTCCATCCTGGTTACTTTGGTAAAGTCGGAATGCGATATTTCCACAAGACCAAAAACCAGTACTACAACCCAACGCTGAATCTTGACCGATTGTGGACATTGGTTTCGGAAGACACAAGACGTGCACATGCCAATAACAAAGATGTCGCACCCGTTATCGATATTTTGCAATCGGTAAGCGTTCACGAAACTTGAAATTTCAAGATGATGTATATATGGATGCTTTTGCTCGTCTTCGGCATCTGCTCGGATATTGATTTATAACTTTTTTACAGGGATATAGCAAACTTCTCGGAAAAGGCCGACTTCCTAACCAGCCTGTTATAGTCAAGGCTAGATCGGTATCACGTCGTGCTGAGCAGAAAATAAAGGCCGCTGGTGGTGTCGTCCACTTAATTGCGTGAATATAGGCTTCTGTAACTTTACCCCAATATAGCATAATAAAGACTCAGGTTAAGGGATCTTGGTATTTTGCGATTAAGGCAGGATTTCGGTACATGCTAAACACAATTTACTTAATTATAGAGCAAATTTATTTCGTGGATATGTAATCGACTGCCCAATTCTAACCATTATTCGAAGAAAAATTAGCTATTAATGGGCTCATTAACTTGTAGAACGTTAATGCTGCCGACGACACAGTATTCTAGTAGTGGCACACATTAACATAGAACCTTATTCGGAACTAATGTTTCGATCTTGGCAAAACAGGGTGGCTGAGAAATTCTCGAAAAAGTCGAATCCCAAACATAATGCTGCATTTAGATGCTACATAATTATACGGAGCATATTTGTCAAAGTCCGAAATGAAACGATCTCTTCCATCAGCGTCGTTGATGCCTTTCCTAGGGTTTCTCTCCTCTCTGGTAATTACTGCCTAACTGTATGGAGCATAAAATCGAAAGTTCATGAATATACTTTTGTGATTTCCTTCCTCCTCCCAAATTTATTATTTACCTCAGACGCAAACGCTCAGGTGAGCAAAGAGTGATGGAGAAACTTTTTTCCTGGTGTTCTGCAAACACGTACTCTTACAATGGATGCGAATAAGAGAAAAGGTATATCTGGGAAGTAATTAGGGACAGATAAAAGTACGTGTACATGTATGGCGCTAGCAATAAATATATGTTTCTCTCCGGTAAATGCTTCATAGTCGGACGAAGAATAATGTCTGATTTACAAAGATTCCTCTAATCCCCGTTGCTCGTTATATTCCTCTTAGCACCAAACTTGCACTCGTATATGCATACCATATGATCTCTAATCATAAATCGTCTGATCTGAATACCATCTCCGTTGGTAAGCCCACAACAGTTGGCATACAGCCTTGCTTCATTAAACCATCGGTAATCTGGGTAGGCTGTTTGAATTAACGTAATCACTTGGTAAAGCGACATGTTACACGGCGAATATTTTTTCATGCCGATTATCTGAAATTTTTTGTCACACACTGCAGATCTGACTTTAAAATTTATTATTGTCATCATAACTCCATCATTTAAGTCACCAAATAAGTTTCTAAATTGAATCATTTACCAAAAGTTTTAATCAGGAATACATGGGCATCATACATGTTAAGGCATTAATTTAAACTAGTTACTAAATAACCACATAATCTACACTGAACGGGAGCTTTAAGCAGTCTAACAACCTCCCGAATGCATATGAGTGTGTCGGCATCACTGGCTACATGTGGATGAACGTGTTGACTGCCGAATAGAAACGTTACATTAGCCATCTGCTTCACTTAGCGTTATGACATCAAGAAACTAAAAAAACGAGGGGATCCTTACAGGAAATCATATATTTGTTCAAGTGCCAAAGTGGAGACATTTTCTTCTAGTCGCATTGTTGATGTGACATCGTGAAGGAGTTGCATCAAGTGAATTATGTACTATAAAACGAATTGGCTCGTTAGTGATAAGGTAAGTATAATAAACCTAAATTAACTCTTCAGCTATTAAATAGTATATCATAAATAAAGATACGTCAAAGCTCACCTCTTTCATAATCACAACATTCTTTTCCAACCTATGTAAAACAGGTCCCATAAGGGCACACAAGTATAAAACTTGCACGTCGGTTTTAATCTCATCTCTAAATATCAGCATAGATCCAAAGAATCTTTCCACAATATCATTGTTGGAATAATGTATAATACTGTGAGCAAGTGTGAGGAGCGTGTTGGGAGCATTCGTTCCAAAGTTATGGTAATTAGAAGTATAGTCTTTGAATATATACGGAAACATTATAGTCTTGACTGCCTGCGGTGACGGCGGTTCTAAAAATGGGTTCGGAGGGTCCATTGCAAAGAAAGATGCAGATTTGTCAGATTGTGTATTGGATGGCTGGGAGAATAAATTGTTGTAAGACTGTTATCAGGAAGTATGTGTTGAAAGAAGATATGTTTGTATGATGCACGAAAACAAAATAAGGCAATATTAATATTTTCTCATTTCATGGACAATATGGTACTAACATGCACGTGATAGCACTTACCAAAGTACAGACAGCAGATGGCTCCCTCAAATGAGCATCTGTCTTAACCACATTCACAATTTCCGTTAGCATAGGTATAACAAACTCATCTTGTGGCAAAAATGAGAGTAATAACGCAACCGCATGAATAATTATTGGCGGCACTGCAACATTCTTTGTTCCACGCACTAAAATTATATTCAAAGCCATTCTAACTACATCAACTGGCTCAACTGGCGTGGCCAAAACTTCCACACAGGCGATATACAGAGCCAACACCATCGGATTCGAGATCTCACGGAAATGGCGTTCCGGAAAGTGAGATTTTGTCTTGGGAGCGCATTTTTGTGGGAGCATATCTGTTGCATTTCGTATGATATGTACGAGTGGTAGCAAATGAAAGTGATTATTAGACAACGCTAAATATTATTTGATAGCGTAATAAACAACGCCGAACGAGCACTTACTATCGGCTAATTTGCGAAAGACTTTGTCAAAGTAATTCTCATCGAAAATTTCCGCCCCGACCGACTCGTTATTCACATATTCGAGCAACTCTGGGGCAATATTATAATCATCGAAATCTATTCATTGACAATAGAAATTGGAATTAGGCCACTATTTACATCAGGTACTCGCTCCAATAATTTTTTCATCACTGATATTCAACTTACCTAGTAACTTTACTAATCTTCGACATACATTTGGATCTCTAATGGTACTAGTCGGATAGTAATAACAGAATAAATCTCTAACAAATGTAAGTGGTGTTTGATGATATCGATATAACTTTCCGTATTCATCTAGGAACCTCAGTAACTCTGTGTTCCCAAACGCAATCATATTCCCTATCAGAATATCGAATATGGGTAATGTTCGGAAGATGACGTTTGAGTAATATATGGGCATTTGGATATCTGGTGGTGGGTTTAACGGTGTATTGGTGTTTGCATAACCGTCCATTGCAAATGCTTCATATTCATAAAATTCTGGATAATCTTCAAGGTACTGCATTAGCTTTCCATGAAAATCATCTTCAACCCAATATCTAGGGCAGAATCCTAACTCCATAAATCGAGCGACTCGCTGCGAAAAACCTTCTGGTTCGAAGAGAAGACAATTGAGAAATCCCGTGGCTATTTCCCTTTTCGTCTCCTCTCTTTGATGACAAATTAATGCATAAATTACATGTTCAAATGCAAGAATTTGGTATTTCCAGATTAACTCTGCTAAAAGAGCACATTCCTGCGAACATAGTGATAATAGTCATGTTGTTAGCTAACAAGTAATACCTATCTCATCATTGCTGGGTCACCGTATACAGACTGGCTGACGGTAAGCATACTTACTAGTACTTTCCATTGCGGTGTGGACACGCTCACTATATGATCAATAAGTCCAGCTGTATAGGTTGCCATCCTAGATGGTGCAAACTGCAGCAAAGTACTTCGCAGAGCTAAGATCGTCATACGAGTTAAGGAGTTTAAAATATAATCTTGGACGTTATCTTGAAACTATTTATGTTCGTAAAGGATACACCCCCACATTTTCGTAAGCGTACGATTTTGTTTCTTGTAATGCATTAATACGGTCCATATAGCGCATAAAAAGATCTTTTGACTTTCCGGGTCGCTATACCTCTCTTTTAGCGCTGCTTCTTGTTTCTCGTTCAAAATTTCGTCCTTGACAAGATTGAGTAGTGTCTCCTCTTGAATAGCAGCGTGTATAGCAGCGAGTACAGCGCTATTCTATGGATAAATGTAAATAAATATTGTCAATATGTGTAATCCTAATTATTAATTGATCGTTATTACTTACATCAGGTGGAAAAGCATTCCCGGCTTGTTGGGACTCAAGTATCTGTTTTACAGGTTCTGGGAAGAGATTGAACACAGCTGGTGACCACTCGAGAGAAGAAGGATATATGTTTGTTAGTACTTTGGAAAGTAGATCTGCTTGGAGATCGGAGGTTCCTCTATGATTCATACGATGTACAAAAATATTATTAATATGGAATTTGTATAAAGGGACAAAACAAGAGGAATTGTGAGATTCTGCATATTTATATACCTGAATTTTACTATTCTTGCGATAGTCATGATGAGTATTCTCGCCAACATTTCTGATTCCGTAAACAAAATAGACTTTTCGCGAATGGCTTCTCCAATAGAGCGAATGAATTTTACGTCCACCTGTAGCATCTTCAAAACGAAGAAATTGTAATCTCAGCAAATACTATAAGATGGTTTAATAGTCGAGATATTATAGTATTTTACATTTTTTTAGTTACCATTGAATGTATAGCAAACATCTCAACTCCCCTGAAAGTCTGTCGATGATTTAAGTGAGACAGTGAATACTTAACAAAGTTAAGTAAGTCTGGCGTTTTCGTAAATTGCTTGAAAAATCGAAGTAATCTATAATTGAACAGTTCCAATATAGTGTGTGTCCAACGTAGTGATTGCTCGGGAAGTGCTGGACCGTCTTCAGCCTTTACTTTTAATGCTTTGTCGTATTTTTTGAGTCGCTCAAATATGATAATAATTATTTGCGATAATCTGATGGTTATGAATGAACAATATAGTTATATAAAATAGTGTGAAGGATGGCATTCCACACAACTCAATGTTGTTCCTGGATCTAGTCCAGTTTGATCACATAACAATACTTACGACCACGGCGCGCTATAAAGCATCTTGAATAAGGCATCTAACACGTAAGGTGAAACGCTGTTATGCTCCTTTTGAGGAGAGTCAGAGAAGGACGTGGGGCCTTTTTCATCGAATGACATTTTACCGATTAAGAATGATAACCTATACCGGCAAAGCATGACTTTATTAGTTATAAATAATATACATAAAAATCTTCTCAATCGGTCAAGTATACCTATTTTTTGCATGGACGCCGATGTAGTCTAATAGTTTATACGTCGCACTCCCTCCTTTCAAGTATTTTGCGGATGGAAACGCTAAAGTCCCTAATTCCAGTTTTGGCGATATCAGATTGGCAAGTAATGTGTCTGCAACAAGACTCTCATTCGCTTCACTGACAATAGCCAGTTTTATTATTTCCTCAAACTGGATATTACGAAACAAATCAACGTTGATAGTGTTCCCTTCAGTATCGGTGTTTTAAATTATAATAAATTACTCAACAGTTTCAATTTCGTATTACGTAACATGGTATAAAGCAATAAACAAAATAGAATACATACCCTTGTATTTAGTGAAAACATATTTGGATAGATCCGCGCAGACCTTGCTATATGGTAGAGCCAAAAACAGCTCTGGATGTCTATATTTCAAATTAGTAGTATTAAGAGAATTTTGATGATAGGCCATCTAAAAGGGATAAATGATTCGTTAGAAGAAGCGTTTGTAAATTAACGTTAAAGATCAATTCTAAAATCTGAATGAACACAGTTACAAGAATGGACGCGTAATATATTTTGGTGTCTTATTATACTAACAAAGCATTGCAGCGACAAATCTCTTAAATAAAAAGCATCTTTAGATGTAATTTGCTTTTCATTATATAAACTAGATAGCATTCTAAATAGCTTCTCATCTTTGCTAAGATCCACTGATATTGTCTCCTTCATCACTCTTTCGATATCTATAAACGTTTGTATTTGAATTAAGGTTATAAATAGATCACAACTCAACAAAATATTTCAGCTTTGACGTAAGCAGCAGGATACGAGATAGTTGTAGTAAAAGCCAGATAAACCCATTGTCTTTCAGTAATTGAGGGCAACTATCATCATCGCCCGAACGAACCATCTGACAAAATTCGGTGAGCGCCTCCTCATACTTTACATAGTGCCTGATGGAGAGAAAATAATATGTCAGTACGTGAATCAGACATAATAAACAAGCTTTTGTATCGATCTTACTCTGTTCCAACCAAACTGTACAATTGATCAGCAACCTCAATCATCAATTCCCAATGATCCAAATTGTTTGGGATTAGCACTTGTTCGGTTACTGTCCTTTGATTACCTAAATCGGCAAAACGCATACTTGTCATTTATCAGATATTCAAACTGTGAACGTTCAAAACGTCTACTTACGAGGTTCCCCAAACGCATCTTGTCGTCTCTCATTGAACTTGGAATTCTCTTGTATATATATAATAATATCTTTAACTTTCTCAAATATGGCGGCTCGTACAGGCTCCAAACCATACTGGGTCCCCTTAACCTTCTTAGCCATTATACGAACTTCTTCTATCCAAGCACGCTGAAAAAATAAATCACGGAAACGAGAAGTGAAGCTTGCCGCACAGCCTTCTTGAACAAATTGATCCTGTTATGGGAAACAAAATTGATGAGAGAAGAATGGGTTACCCGTAAAAAGACTGTGTGTGAGACCTACATAGTCAGGAGCGAATACTCTATTTGAATCTATGCCTGCAAGGTCGTTGTATTCATGATCTCGACTATTAGTTCGTACAGTCACAGTGTTAGAGTTGTAAAATATATGTGATTGACTGAATGTGCAGGCCAATATGATACCTGTATTGAGATACTAATGGCCATGACGCATCTTCAACGATAAAACAAAGTAAGTCTAACATTTGAATGTATAAAGTACTGGCACATGAACCTTATAATATAAGATTACCAGGCGGCATCATGATGAACGAAAGGCGTCTACGGCGTTTGCATAACTCGTGCACAAATGGCTCCATTGTCCAGTGAACGTTTTCGAAATGACCATTAACAGGAGCTCCGAATATGGCTGGAAACTGACAAGTATACATAGCAGTGTGTTAGCAAACAGACGACTCCACGAACATATCAGTTAACAGCTCACCTCTTGAATAATGTGATAATATGAAACACATCCAACCCCACCACAGCCTTTCCCTGTCAAGAAAGCCTCAATTACTTCTTGTCCCTTTTCCACACATCTCATCTGTCCTTTGCTCAATTTCACCGGTAGCACGTTTATCTGTTCCATCAGCTTCTTGATAAACGTCATTGCAGTTGTTGGGCTGGTCTCTACAATAGCTGTTGGGTACTGTCTCAGCATAATCAACACGAAGGACGTTATGCCTACCCACAAGTGCTGCATGTCATTTTTCAGCCAATGGGTCAGATATTCAAATATTTCTGGAATGGTAATTTGAGGCTGGAGTGTGTGTACTAGTGACGGGGATGATGAGAGTTGATAGTCGGAAATTAAGTTGCTAAAGATGGAGAGAATCAGAGAGATTCGCGATGTTGAGGTTGGGGAGGAGTCTATGCTTTTCATCATATACTGAAAGGTTTTGTTCTGAGAAGGCGAAAAGATAAAATACACAATACAGTTAAAATTAAATTGTTGTGCTCCAAGACAATTGCTTAACTACATTGCTTGCTTTAAACTATGTCGCTTGTTGCAAGCAATCTTTTGGCTGATAATTATAAAACTCCCTAATAACCGTAACCCTAGACCTCCATCCTCTCTCTACCAACCCGCTTGTGAAATGTTGCCGTGCTTTTACCATTTTCTCAAGTGTCGGTGCAACTTTTGCAAATTCTGTTACTAATTTGTTCATTATTTCTGAATGCTCCAATTCGAGCTCAAAATCTACTACAGTATCTTCAGATGACTTCGAGGATAATCCTTTGACCTTTCTCCTTTTATTAGCATTTCGACTTGACACCCGTTCATAGATTCTAATACGTTTATAGTTAAGTAGCGATTTAGTTTGTGATCTATTGACAGGAATTCAAGGATTCTATGACATTATTACTCATTCATGTAACATAAATAAACAGTGCTCAATCACAGAGAGATCCATGTACAAGACTTCATGTAATAATTCTTCGCACATACCCAAGATAATGGCCGTCTAAAGATTTTGCTTCCTGCTGTTCTTCCTAAAAAATATAAATGCTATACTTGTGAAGACGCGTGTTTACAATGCGTGTTGCTATTGTTCCCTTTTTGTTCAACCGTTGTGTCTTAATTCTCGCCAAGTCTAACCCCTCTCTTACAAATCACAGCCATGACTAGTGCCACACCTGCTCTTTCAGCTCTCTAGCCCTAACAGTACTCGCTAGTAAATCCTCGAATCCGTTTGCGGTATCCATTTCCAGCGTTTTACCCCCGGAATCGACGGTTTTTTATAGCACTCACTCGATTGCTTTATGTCACGTGATCATGCTTTTGGTCGATCAATTTGCTTGTCAACGTAGAAGTTGAGCGTATGGTAAGCAGGTTCAAAGGATTATGATTCCGCGTATAGCCGCGTGCATCGCTTTCTCGCATGTTCCCCACAAATACATAATATGGTATCGCTCATCGGACTTGAGAATATCTGAGCAGTTTCGCTGCATCGTGACCCAACTTGTATCTCAGCATCCCTTTTATTTACACGAAAATCTTTATTTAACCAGTGATCATCTGATGGATTTACCTTTAAAACTGGTATAACTCATGATAATTTCTTGCGATTA